CACGCCTCGCTTTCCCTGGTTTAGTCTACACAGACTGTACTAGGTGAGAAATCGCATTAACCACCCGTCAATGTGAGGTTGGGTAAAGCTGTGCGCGCCTTTTCCTGGATCAGTAAAAGCGCCTACTGCGAAAAGCATAATTCCATCTGCGTTCTCTCTCTCTCTCAGGGTCGTGTTGACACCCGTGGGGTCCGCGTCCGTTCAGCTCGCGCGACTAAGTCCCAACGGTCGCACGAATATGAATTCTGTTGGTTATTTATCGTGCGTGTATACAATTCGCAAGACGTTCGTTCGCTTGAACTAGGAATCAATATAACCAGACAATAATAACAGGAATCATGCCAACGTAAACTCATGGACGATGTGATTTACTTGTGTCTATCGCTGGCCAACAACCGCATGAGGCCAAGTGGGAGGTCAGCGCCAATCGCGTCGAGTTGATGGGCTACAGTCATGTATCACCATATATCAGCATGTAGAACTTATCCTGATTCTATTCGACTTGTTGTGCAAGTGGTTTGTGGATTCCGTTAGGCTCACTAGACTTGTGTAGCGCCTAACTTCTAAACCAACGTCTTCGTGTACCATGAGTGACTATTCTTTAAGACTCTACCGGAGTGGAAGTTTGGCCAGGTAACCGACCAGGAAACCTGAAGTATACGAACGACATAGCTCTTCATGGGTCTGACGCAGTGATTATGCAACCACTACTGGGTAGACTGACGCGTAGCGTTGCACGCTTTGGCATGTGTTTTGTACCTTCAAAGTGAAAAGTACTTCTACAAGACTGGATCGACACAACTCAGGTACTAGCTATCACCGAACAGCCACCGGAAGTGCTAGATCGGTTCACTTATCTTGGTGGCTGTCACCTCTGGTGGTCACATCCCTGAGGAGGCTACATCGCGTATATGCAAGGCCAGTGTGGCTTTACAGGGACACAAGCATCTATGGAGACCGCAGGATATCCAGTCGCGAGTGAAAGGCAGGGTGTATAAAGCTGCGATAGGATCGGTCTTACTGTATGGATCAGAGACCTGGCGAGTTCGCGGCGAAGACATTACACGCTTGGCCGTATTTGACCACCAGCGCCTGCGGAGAATTGATCACGTCTGGTGGGAAGACCGGGTGAGCGATGCTGAGGTCCGCCAGTTGTTTTCATGCAAGGGACCTTCTGGTGCATCTCTCGAGTGTTTGCTGAATCTTAATCGCTTACATTGGCTAGGCTATGTTCTCCGTATGCCCGTTGATCGACTTGCTCAGCATGCATTATACGCCGTGGCTGCATCGAGTCGGGTGAAACCGCGAGGTGGCCAGTCCATAGCGCATCATAGTGACATGTAAGAAATTGACTGGAAGGCTTACTCAAGCGGGTGCGTGTCCTCTTCGTGGATGGGGGCCTCGGGATGGTCCACACCAATGGTTGGAGACCGTAACTGACATGGCGTATTTACGCAGTCAGTGGTGTTCCTGCATTCGGTTTCCTGCAGCTGGTTGTTAATTTTCGTTCCATTCTGATTAGGATAACGAGCTTCCTTTTTGCATCCCTTTTCTTTACATTCAATTTATTTTTGGCCCCCTATCTTGCCGTTGTTACTTATTGATATTGTTGCGATGTGTATCGTGGCAACTGGATCCACCGCATTTCGGCGCTCGGATCACAGTTGATCAAGTGAACGGAACGGAACATCAATGTGATTCAACTCGAATCCAAATAGGTTTCATGCAGCCACATGGGTTCCATTTCAGATTTTACGCTATCGCTGCGATGTGCTGGAAGATAATATCAAGACGGAATACAGAATTGAGGGAGAGAAATGAAACGCGTACGTAGTCGTTACTCCAACGGCCGCTCGCGCAGCAAGCTTGAAACTAACATTGGGTTGACAAGTAACTATGACAAATAAGCTGAGACGATAGGTGAAAAAAGTAGCAGCGTTTTCGAAAGGTCACTGGGGAGTGAATGGAAATGTTCATTTGGGATATTGGAAGGATAATTACGGAGAGAGTGTAGATGCCTAGAAAAATTATGTCAACGAGAGCGTCTCCTAATGTACCGCCGCATTTAGAAAGGTAATCCATCTCGGGAATGATAGGAGAGTAGTCTAAGCAATGGGGCAGAATCCATGAAGTCATAAATTTGAATTTCAAATTACGGAGTAGCAAAGGTATAAAAAAGATAATCCTCCGACCTAACGAACCGTTTCACAAACGTGCGTGGACCAAGAGGAGTTTTGGGGCAAAATGCACTTAGATGCTAGGCTGCGTATGACGTCCGTAAGGTGTTGTCACTTGTCGTCAGCGTAGGAGAAGAAATTATGACAGACGCAATTTACTGGCAAAACAAAAGAAAATGCTGCATCACTATATCTGAAAGTCAGGGATATGGATAACAAATATTCCACTAGTTCTTGTTCAAGTTCAAACATCGAGCAACCCTGAAGGGTGGGGGTCAAACAATTTGTCACATCCGAAGCGGTTTCGGAGCTGCTTTCTCCCAAGACTTAGGAGAAAGCAACTCCCACTGTGCGAACTATGCGCGTACAGCGCACTTATAACGTTTATACATTTCTTAGGCACACTATTTCTCAGCAAACAGACCCGAAGCGCTTATCGATCAACCGAATAAAAGGCCCCTTTGTTGTTTAGGAACAGGACTACGGTTGGTCGCCAATGCACATGGCCGTGCACCAACAACTAAAGTAATGAGAAAATATGGTCAATGCAGCGCCGATATGGACGAAACCCGGCCTGCTCCTCGCGCATCTGGCTTTCACGGATGCCAGTCAGTCTATGGAGGATGAGAGAGGCAAGCGACTTGGAGGTAATTGAGATCAGACTGATTCCACTATAACTGCCGCATTCCGAACGGGAGCCTCCCTTGAATAATGGGAATATGATGGAGCGGCTCCAGTCTATTTAGATAGTCTCCTGCTCCCATAGATTCGATAATAAGTTATGTAAACGGTCCAAAAGAGCAGGGCCCGTACTTGTAGTAGGCTGGATGAAGTCCATCTGCGCCGGGGGCCTTGTTCAATTTCAACCGTCTGATCTCACGTTCGATATCTATGCGTGAGAGCGGATCCAGAGAGCAAAGCGATCATTGGCCGAAGAAGAAGCTGGCAACAGGGACTGATTAAACTGCTTCTCAGTGTTCGGCCCAACGCTTTGATAAGCTGTGCATCAGCTGTCCACTCTCGTCACATATGGCCGCGCTAACGCCAGGTCGCCTGGTGCCCGTTTCTAGTATCAGACGGAATAAATTCCGACCGGCATCATGGGCAGCTGCTGTCTCCGTCTCCGACGAACGATTAGAACACCACGCTTCGCGGTCTCTCCTCGGGCTAGCACACATTTTCGCCCTGATATCTGAAATGCGGCCTGGTTGGTCACTATTATGCTAACGATGTCACTGGGTAGTTTGACGGTGGTGATGCTCTTTGAAGTGGTCACGCAATTTGACAGATGTTTCGCAACTGCAAAATGCAAGGTACAATTGCAAGAGCATCAGTCCCTTTACAGTGCTTTGAGACTTGACAACAAGTAGACCGAATCACCTACATTGTCAGCAACAGTGACAGTGATAGACGACTGAAACTAGGTCACGTGAACCTGTGACGTTTCTGGGACAGTAACGGGATCTCCAAGAGTATGAAAGACCGCGTACCCGAGACCATAGTCAGGGCTGTTCCATGGGAGTGACACTTCGTTTTCCGATCTGAGGACTCAAGTGTTAGACAATTACTGTGTCGCATGACACCAGCCAATCCGCAACGGTAACGCACAGGTAACAGCTAGAAGATGATATACAGGTTAATACTTTAGAACAACAAATAACATAGTATAGGTTAATTGGAGAGTCAATTATGGAATACACGTTGCGCGACTGGACGACGACGCACAATCTCTATGTGGACCGCGATTCACACTGAAGTGAACCTTGATCAATGCGATCACTAGGACCGTAGCCGAAGCGGATGAAAATCGAGTGTTCCTCACCCGAAAACACTGCACAACCACGACGCGTTTCGAGGTCATTTCATCTCATCACATGGAGATAGCAGGCATCGAAGGCGCTATCATTGGAATAGTAGCCGAAATCACCCCCACTGTGGCTACCGCGTCACGGCGAGCAGCGCTTGACACAACGGCGAATGACACCCAATTTCAATCTGCTTCGGCTAAGGTCCGAGTGATCGCAGTGACCAAGGTTCACTTCAATGTGAATCGCGGTCCACATTGAGATTGCACGTCGCAATCCAATCACATAATGGGCAATCCAAAATTGATCCTCCAAGTAGTCAAGCACCGTTGTGACAAGCGTTGCCCGTTGTGACCTGGTAGTCAAATGGGTAGAGATTTCGGCTACTATTCAAATGGTCGCGTGTTCCAGGCCTGCTATTTCCACCTGATAAGATGAAATGACTTCGAAACGCGACATAAGTGTGAAGTGTTTTCGGACGGGCAAACACCCACTTGCCATCTAACATTGAATAGGCTTAGCTAACTTGGATATGTACAACTGCTGAACAGATAGCATGAAGTAAAACAAGTGACGACTAGATTACGTGCTAGTTCGTTTGGCCTTCTACGCTGCCATTCACGTGACCCACTTTGTGTTTAGCTAGAGCAGTTACAGGACAGGACTGGTAGCCATGGCACGTAACCGAAATGGCTGTTTAAAAGGCGCCTGGTACTGGGAGTGGGCTGACATGCACTGGGTAGTGAAATTCGCAGTCTTGTCGATACCGTCTTATTCTCGCAAGATACACTGCCGTGTGTAACTGTGTTGTTAATCAGAAGTAAACTCATTGACAAGGAATATTTGCATAGAGCATTTCAGTTCTATACCAAGTTCTCCGCCTCCGCTTATTGTTCCCCCATTCATTAGTCAACTTAGTTGTACAGCAGCCAAGTATCAACTAACAGTACTGGCATACTGATGTCAATGAAGATGACAATGGACTAGGTGAAGATTTACAAATGTACCAAGAATGAAAAACCAGAGAAACAGTCATCTATTTCTCATCTTTGTTCGGTTGGGTAAACAATTCTGCGACATTGTATTTGTGATAGCGGCCAAAATTCTCCAATAAGCTCAAACAAGCGACGTTTCGCAGAATATTTACAAAAATGATGACAGTTGGTGAAGAGGGACAGACCCGCCATGACGCATCGACGCCGCACACAGCAGAGACGACGGCATCAATGGCCTCTTCGCGTGGCAAACGATTGTAATTTCTGGCTTTAAACAGTACCAAAAATGTTTTAGACCCATGCAGAGTCGCCGCTGTGGCGCGTTGAGGTGGAACCTTTGGACAAAGTGAATGGATACAGTCTGAGACCACGGAATCTGTAGAATTGTGTTCCAAGGATTGGACCTCTTCTTTACCGACGTGAGGCGCCGTCTGTTGAGATAGTACAGAGTCATCACGAATAAAATTGATCCACAATTGTTTCATACATTTGCTTATCTCCGCTGGATTCGCAGAACAAGTTGCATCCACTGGTAACAAACGAAGCAAACTGCGAGATTCCGAGACTCCAACCGAAAGGAGATGTTCAAAAATATTATGACACAGAAAAGCGGAACATGTGCATTCGGCGTAGTGAACCACAAACAGACAGTTCGAGACGCCGCTCTTCACGGAATAGAAAAAGTAAGGATTCGCAGTATTTTCGGACGAGTTAGTAGAGGACTGTGCAAGTTCTCTCCGTAGTTGTGTTAGTACGTCCGCATCACTATCGCTGTCATCAGCCGTTTGATTATGGACTGACGGCTGTTCTGTTGGTTGATTGTTCTCAGGATGTAAAGCATCTACGGATCCTACGGATAGTATCATTGGTTGGCAGCGTTTCAAAGCATCGTTGAGTAAACGATAAGCTTCCGACAGAGCGCGTTTCTCTTGTCGATTGCAGGTGACCAAATAGCCAGTCATACCAGGTCGCAACTGCTTCAAAGGGCGTCTCTGAGATGACGTTTCCGCATCAGAGGATCTCACTAAGCACTGCTGCTTGTTGGAAATAGCACATTTTCGGTAATAGGCTTTCCTTTTCTTCTTATCCCGGTGGGCGGTCTCTGAAGTCATAGTGTCTGAGAAATGAAAAATATCCGGAATGAAAAATTCACATGGACAAGTAAATGAAAAGTTGAAAACGACTTCCATGTGTATCATCTGCGTATGGAGACTTTTTACACTAACTGTGAACAGACCGTTGAGACACTCAAATAAATATGTCAGGAGGTGAGCATAAATAAAGGCATACATGGATAATTGTAATAACCTAATGTCAAACTCATGTGGGATTCAATGAGTAAGATGCACCGGCTAGTTTGTAGAGTTCAGCCCACTAAGAATGCTAAATTGTCTGTCATCACTACAAGGTAAAGAAACAGCTCAACTATTGTATTGTAATAAAAATCAGATGTTCATAAAACTAAACAAAAAATATATCCATGGGTGGGAAATTTCGAGGTAAATTGTTGGAGATTCTTCACAATATGGTATATCTTGCTTTTTAGGAGAGAAGAAATCGATCAAGATAGCAAGTTTGGGCTAAGATGGATGGGGAGGGAGAAAGAAACCGGCAACGCAAGCGCTATTTATGTCAACAAGTGTTTTCAACCAAACGCGTTCATTAGCTTTTGGACCCCAATCAAAAGACAGGAAGTACACACCAAGGCTAAGGTTTAAATGACATCCTTCATTCCTTGACTGACCATCTTAATTCTCCGTCCAGACTCCGGTTGCACGGACAAGACACACCGCGGGAGTCAGTGTGCTGGTATGCGCAACACGTGGCCCAGCCATCGAATCCTGGTAAGTGAGATAACGGTGCCGGGCGAACAAACTCATTCGCCACGTGATGTTGGAAGTAAAGTAGTCACCTTACTTCTGCCTACCAGGTTCAGAAACAGTACAGTTAGGTCGAATAACGGTAGCACTGGCCGGTGACCAACTGGTATAAAGCGTCTAACTTGTAATCCACAAGTTAACCGTTCCATTCTGCGTAGGAGAGATCAACCCTGCGGTGTCTCTGACAAGCAAGTAGCTGGTGATGGTCGCACGGCAAAGAAGCGTCGGCATGACGTACCGCTGATGGCTTCTACGGACAGCAGCCTTGCAGACACTACCATTCAGAGTAGGGGTTGGTCCATGTCAACACTAGAAATGGTGGTGAAAGATAGCATTGCATTTCGGGCGTGAAGAGTATGGTCCGAAATCACTGGCAGTCAATGCAAATCTGTTCAGCGCTGCTTGAATGGTTTGCAATCGTACAGATTAGGCCATTAACGCCATTGTACCTCAAGTCGAGAAGTGGGGCGCCAGGAAGTAACTGAAAACATAATGAGTCCGGTAAACGCAGTACCCATAAATTAGTCAATAGTACAATTAAGAAGGACGAATGAGAGCAGGCATCCATGCCTCACACTGCTGGATACAATGAAGGGTGGGGGCAGTTTGTCATTAGCCATCAATCCTCCCGAACTACGCGCTCTTTAATCAACAATGGAGCACTCATAATTATTCTCATAGGCATATCGAGCAAATGAGTTAAACACGTCTTGGATGCGAGGAATATGACTAGGGTGGGTCACTGATGAACGTGGTGGTGCTCCATCTGACGTAAGGTGATGTGTCCAATAAAGCCCTACACTCGACGACGTCTGATTTCCTTTTTGCGAATATTACCTTCAACGGCGCCAGTTAGCGTAGGGAAACGGCAGAGGCAAGCAAGTTAGAGGTGACAGAGATCAGACGGACACTTCCAGGATTACTGCATCCCGAAGGGGAACCCATCTCATCTGGCAATCGGAACTGTAACGTACCACCTCTAGTCCGTATGCTCAGTTTCCTGATTTCACAGTTTCACCAATCGGGTAAATCATGTAGGAGAGTTGGCCATCCGAATCTGAAGAGGGCCGAAAGACGTCGACTTGGTCTTGCGGCGCTATGCAAGCGTAACAGTCCGATCACATGTTGTACTTCTGAGCGTGGCTAGATCAAGCGGGATGGTCCAAAGAGAAGGATGATCACACGCCAGCAAGGTAACTGGCAATTCTGGCCAATTAAATTGAGTTTGAAAGTATGCATCGCAAAGCAGCAAGCGGTTTGAAGAGCTATGAATATACCGTCCAATCCCACCACACATCGCAAAGACCAGACTTTCTGCCGCCCGTCTTGCGTATCAGACGCAACACTTTCCTCGGTTAACAGTAGCAGCGGTCGCCTCATTCTCCGATACATAGTGAGGGCACCAGACTTCACGATGTCTATTCAGTACAGTAAGTAATTGTGCGCTGAGATCTTTACAAGCCGTGTCGTATTCATTTCCAGCCGGGATGCACCGGCGATTATCCAGCAGTTCCAGGGATTACATCAATATCCAATGCATTGGAGGCATAGATACTGCTAACAATGTCACGTAAACATATGACCAATGAGTTTTAACTGTGTTCAATGAGCGCTTACTCAGCTCAGATGACAGCGCATTTTGATAGGCATTCAGAATATCCAATTTTACCAGCTGGCAAAGGTCTAACCGCTCACAGCGTCGTCGCAGATGTACAGCGAAACGCACTCGGATATTGGCACATAAGAACCGATGGTCAGAGTCCGTGGCAGTAATGCAAATCGAGCGGCAGAGATGGACGCAGCTTCTTTAGCAGCAAGTGGTGGGCGACATGTTGGAACTGCTCATTGTTATCCTTACGATCGCATACGCTATTTTGGCCACTCAGATAAAGCTCATCATTTGAGGATTTTTAAAATTAGGCGTTCACATCACTAGCGATTATTACAGCGTGTGTAGTTCACCTGTGACGAAGGCGATCGTTCAGTTCGTGACAGAGCTCATATTCCACTGAATCAGCGCTACAGTTTATGTGGACGTAAGCAGTAATGAAAAACAGGCAACAAGTCCCAACGGGTGATTTCGGCGCTTTGAAGGAGCCAGCTAGTCGGACGGCACACAATCGTTTACTGAATGGAATCCATTCGATTAGAGCAGCTTCTGTCCGACTGATCGACTGATATTTGAAGCTGCGTTTTCGCCGGATATACACAATGAAAAAGTGCCGCTAGTGTCACGTGAAGTCTTGCAACCGGATTTCGACAAGTCCCCTGATGTTCGGGCAGCTGCTGCCTGTTGGCCAATATGCAACAAAGTATACAAATTAAGGAATGCTAGTCCTAGCGATGTTCGATGGCTCCAAATAGAATTTGGTGAACAGAGATTGTCCCTATGATTAGACATGGATTTATCGAAAGGCCGAAGTGACGACCTTTGAGTCGAAACTAGATAGCGAACACTCACTAAAGCAAAACACGAGAGGACCAAGAATTCGGGGTTGAAAACAGAATGGGTCAAAAGGAAGTTGGAAGGGGACAAAAAGGATTAAAAAATGTAATAAGAGGGATAAGAAGAGAGGAATACTTGAGCAGTAGTACACTCATCCATATCTAACCAGCTCGATGCAGTGGATAGGGTACTGTGGATTATCCCCTGTGAGAGCACTAAGAACTCGTCTGAAGGCAAATTCATTATATGGTACTATGTGGATAGTGTACAATCAGTAGCCCATAACCAGATGGCAGAGCGATTAGGCCTACCAAATAACATCTTTGATAGCGGGCTATATGGAGCCCGATGTGTCCGATTGTGAAGATGAAACGACGCCACGAAGCAATGTTTCAACCTGGTCCCGGACGCTGCAATGCTGTGCTGAAACTCAAACCAGAGGTTCAGCGAGTCTTCAGAGTGAGGTGCCCGCTGCCGTACGCCACTCAATCATTGGTGGAAGCCGAGTTGAATCGATTGCAATCCGATTATACAATTGAACGTGTACACTACTCAGAATGTTCAATGGTGTGCAGCACTTTTCGTGGTAAGATCGGTATTTGTGGTGATTTTGCAACAGGCTTGAATTCCGTGTTGGAGACTCATCAGAACCCTTTACTTGTACCGAAAATATAGTTCACGCAACGCAATGGTGGCAAATGCTTCTCAAAACTTGACCGAACTGACGTTTATTGGTAAATTCCAGTTGATGAGGGAGGTAGACAATTGGTGACAATTAATACACCACTCGGACTTTGCTAGTACAACCGGTTGTCTCGGATTGGAAAAAACGCACTGGTTATTTGCCAATAAATCATGAATACACTGTTGAACGAGAAGCTCAATTCCATGTTATATACGTGGGCGATGCTCTGATTATGGACGCAGATCCGCAAGAGGTGGTGCAAAGACTCTGGATAGAGTGCTTTTGCGTCTGGAAGAAGCTGATTCCGAGTACGCGCCAATGAATGTGACTTGTCACTAGGAATCGTCAAATTCCTAGGGTTTATCAACGACAAATATGGCCGGCATCAGGATCAAGGCAACATAGAAATTAGCAACCGGAAACGGATCCAGAAACGAAAAGTGTTGCCAAGGATGTGGATGTTGTCAACTTGAGGTAAAGGTCCCTCCAAAGTGCCAATGGCAATTTTGGCCTAAAACCGGAGGAGCCATGGTAATGAAACCACCTAGACTACGCGGGACCAATCACTGGTAAATGCTATCTCGTCTTGGTGGAGTTCTTTACCACGTGACCCGATGTGATCGCGAGGTACAGTCCGACTGTTCAGCATACCATCGACAAACTGGATAAGCCGTTCCAGTATTTTGGACTTCCAGAGATGATAGTGGTAGGCAATGTAACACAATTCACCTTAATTTCTTTTCGCAAGTTGTGCAAGGAAAAAGTAAATTCAGCAGATGTTCTCACCATCGTATCAACTACAATCAAACGGACAGGTGGAACGGCTCGTCGATACTTTCAAACATTCTCTTTGTAAAGTGGGACAGAAAAGTCTTCCGCAGGACGCTATTCAATTACTTTTGTGTGTGTAACAGAATGCTCCGAACCCGAATGCCCCTGAAGGAAAATTGCCTGCCGATGTATTGTTTGAACATAAGATCGGAACAATGTTCGATAACCTGGTACCATGAAGGAAAAAAGCAGGATAATCGTCAAACAGAATATATTCGGACAGACAGGTGACGTAATTTACGCGCGGGACCTACAAAGGTCGAGGTGGTC